TAATTCAAGACAGGCCTATAATTCAAAATGGTACATTAATTAACCCCAAAGCTTAAGTTAGCACGCTGCTGTAACTGGGCAACTGAATATTGGACTGTTAAAAATGCAATCCCTAAAAGTGGTTAATAATTCTAGAACATAACGTAATAAAACCAGATGTGTATAAGAGACAGGGACTCGACCATGTGCCTCACAGGAAAAGTCCCCTCCCCCAGTTGATTGCACTCGGGACTCATTCATTCATTTGTTTTTTCATTAACATATTGACATAGCAGTATGGGTCAATTTACAAAACCTGTTCTACATAAAACGTCATAACACACTTAATTGATATACAAAACTCACATGACAATGGAAAAATTACACGAAAAAAGAACCATAAAAACAGCACATAAAATGAATCACATAAACATATAGATTGTAGAGATTATATTTTTAAAAATCAATAATTCATTATATTTACACAAAAAAAAGGGGAGTTAAGTCAATATACGAATTACCCTCCAATATTCTAGACCCCTCTAATTCGGAGACCACTCTAATTTAAGATCACCTTTTCAAACAACCAAATCATCCAATCTTTTAACATTAAGCTAAACATCTATGACCCCATGTGGAGACCACCCCCCAAAGGTGTTCTCGAATGGAAGCATTGGTTGCTCTTGATATGTTTTGTAAACCATCGGGACTCTGCCTTAATGTTAATAAATCAGTTGGAATGTTATTGGATCTTGGAAACATAGAAAAGAAGAAATTGTTGGAATAAACTGGCAACACTTTCCTTTTAAAATTTTGGGATTATACATAGGACTTGATTGCAAAACATGTGAAAGAGAAAATTGGATTGATAAAATTGAAAAATTATAAACAATTTTGAACACATGGAAAAAAAGAAAGCTTACACTTTTCGGTAAAGTGACAATAATTAATAGCTTAGCGTTATCCCAACTAATTTTTACTGCCAGTACCATTGATATCCCTAAATTTGTCTTTCAGGCAGTTGATAAAATAATCTTTTCTTTTCTATGGGATTCCAAAACAGACAAAATATCGAGGGAAACACTGCCCAAATTCTAAAGGGAGGTATTAATATGCCAAATTTTAAAAAGGCACGATGTTACATTGAGAATTATGTGGCTGCAAAAACTTCTGAAGAATGATGACAAATCTTTATGGAAATGCATCCCCTACTTTCATCTTAATATATTAGGTAGAGACCTTTTTGTTCTTAAATCACGAAAAAGAAGCAGTAAATGTTAATATGCCGCATTTCTACAAAGAAGTTGTTGAAGCCTGGATGGTAGCAGGAGGAGGGTTAACATATGAACCTGTGACACCAAATGAAATCTATAAGGAGTATATCTGGGGAAACCCTCGTATCAAGATGGACAATAGAGTTTTATACTCCCGTACATGTATTGATTCTGGTATTGTTAAAATTCAAGACAGGCCTATAATTCAAAATGGTACATTAATTAACCCCAAAGCTTAAGTTAGCACGCTGCTGTAACTGGGCAACTGAATATTGGACTGTTAAAAATGCAATCCCTAAAAGTGGTTAATAATTCTAGAACATAACGTAATAAAACCCAAAGAAAACATAAATAATTTTCAAATTATGAAGTATGATATCAGAACATAATTCTAAATTAATTTATTCAGCCGAAAGGAATTATGTACTGGCAACGTGTGCTAGACGATGATCGTTTTAAATGGAAAAACATATGGAAAAAAATTATGAAATTTATGAGATTAAACTCAAACAACTAAATTTCAAACTATTGCATGCCAACCTTATATCAAATAAAAAAACTATACCAATACAAAATAATTTGATCTCCGTTATGTACACTTTGTGGTTTAATTGATGATTATATACATATGTTTCTACATTGTAAGCGAGTAAAGGGATACTGGGCTAATATCAAACAGGTGTTAAAAAACAATGGATTTACAGTAGATATGAATACAATTGTTAAGGGAATTCACAATATAAAAGATAAATACAATACTGAGCTATCAAAGCCTATTATACCAATCTTTTATGCCGAGGTTAAATATAGAAAAATCTTACAGGAAAAAATTATATTAGCAAAAGCTTGTAAATTTAAGAATTTAATAATTGATTATAATAAAAGCCATGTGTGTCTGCATTTTTTTGTATGTGTTTTGTGCTTGTGTGTGAGTTTTTTTTATTTATGTGTATGTAAACGTATGTTTGTATGTATGTGTGTGTGTATGTATGTGTGTAGGTATGCTGTGTGTGTGTGTGGGGGTGGTTATGTGTGTGTATATATATATATACACATATATAT